GGCACGGGCGGACGAATCCGTGGCGAGAGGCGTGGGGGGCTGCGTGTTGGAGGGGTGGGAGTGATGGATTGTGGGTGGTTGGGGGGAGCTGATGTGGAGGAGCGATGACTTGCAGGAACAGACAGAGGTCTGTACGGGGGCTCGAATCCAGGCAGCGCTGGGATGGAGGGGCCATCAATCACTTTGGCGTCTATCGAGCGGCTGTAGGTGTTTGGACCCCGTCCCGGAGGGGGGGGGGGGGGGTTCAGCGGGGACCTTGCATGTTAATTAGGGTCACGCGGCCCTTGACATTAGCAAATAAGCTGCGGTGAAAGCGGGGCATCGTGATTGGAGGAGGGCCCGCTACAACACAAACGTGCACAGCAGACGACATAAACGGGTGTTTCCAGCATCGAAATACCGATGACACTGAGGGCTTGTGTCTCTCATCTCCTCTTCCCTTGTCCACTTCCTTCCTACTTCCATCCGGTATACTACTCGCTGTCCTTTTCTGCATGCCACAGCTGTCCACAGAAGGTCAGCTAGGGGGGGAAATAAATGAGAGCTGAGGGGAATAAGCAAGCACTGACGCTCACTAATGAATATGAATGAATTGTGGACCTGTGGTGTGTTTGTGTCATTATGTGTGTGTGTGTGTGTGTGTTGGAGTGCTAGCTGGCACGTCTGCTAATGAGCCATTAGTGAAGCAAGGTGACGATAGTTCGCTCTAATAGCAGGAAACACACATCACAGAGCTGGAGGTGCTACTGAAGACGTCAGTATCTCAGAGGCAAACGCCCTCCACTTTAAAACACCAAAGTCTCACTGCTAATAAGTGTCACACGCCAAGGACAAGAACACAAGCCGGACCGGCCCCCCTAATGTCGTAAATCATTTAACTCGGGCTTTTTTTTTTTTTCTTTCTTTCACTGCTCATCTCTCATCCTCCTCTTTCACACTCAAGGAGAGAGAGAGAGAGAGAGAGAGAGAGAGAGAGAGAGAGAGAGAGGTGGCAAAGTCCACATATTGACACAGTAACGGCATTACACACACACACACACACACACACACACACACACACACACACACACACACACACACACACACACACACACACACAGACACAAACACACACACACACACACTCAGAAAGCAGAATATGACTGTCAAAAATAGTTATATTCCGTCTCTGCAGCACACGCATACACACATAAACCAAAGGGCAATATCAAGCTCCAAAAAGCTGCAACGCGCACAGAAATCCCCGCAGCTCATCCTCACTCTTTAATCCCGTCTTTCTCACACCACTGCTGACTTCACTGCTGCCAGGAGCCTTCACCCCTGACAGCCAGAGAGGGAGAGAGGGGGAGACAAAGTACACAGCGGGAGGTTGAAAAGTAAATTAGTGAGGGACGTAAAGGGAAGGCTGGCGAGCGAGTGGATGGATGGATGGATGGATGGTGGACTGGGGGAACTGAACAAGAGACAGATGTACTCACACAAGCAGACATGCTCGCCCCGTTACAGACGACTACTTCCTTTCCTCGTTAGCTCCAAAACCACGGTGACAGTCTTCCTCCTTCTCCGCTGCTCTTCTTCGTCCTCTTAAATAGCCTGAGGCTCCTCTTTCTCTTCTCTTCCCTTGCCCCTCTTCCCTTCCCATCCCCTAACCCTCCTCCTCCTCCTCCTCTTCCCTGTGCTACACCTCTTCTCTCCCAATCTTCCTCTTCTATCGGCTTCCTTCGCTTGACTCGCCCGGTCTGACAAACCCTCCTGCGATGTCCTGCCGCGTCCTGCTCTGTGCAAGCAGGGGAGCGTGCACTGGCTCTCCCCCCTCACTGGCTCTCCCCCCTCACTGGCTCTCCATCACTCCGTTTGCACCCCACTCTCTCTCTCTCTCGAAAGCACGGACACTTTTTTTGAATCCTCTCTCCCTATTTGTCTACAATGTCTTCTCCTCCTCTTTGGTTGCTTCAATTTTGTCCCTCCCTCGTCTCACCGAAGCGTTAAAAAAAAAAAGCAGAGAAGACACCGTTAAAGTGCAACGATGGGAACAAACCAAAGAGGCAGAAAGAAGTCGAGGCAAAGCGCCGCCGATGGCACAACAGGGAGGCAGAAAGAGCGCTGGAGACAAAGAGTGGAAATAGCGCAGGAGCATCACAGATAGAAAAAAAGGGGATGAAGAAGAGGGGGGGCAACACAGACACACCCGCTCACTCCCCCGTCCCACACACACACACACACACACACACACAGCGAGTGCTCCGGATATAGACCTATGACTTCATCAGTTCAAGCCCATGTGCGACGTCACACACTTGTGCATTCTAACGTGTGTGTACACACACACACACGCACACAGCCGGACTCGCTCAGTTCTCCTGATTTAGCCTCATGACTTCATCCAGGCACTACCCCCCCCCCCCCCCCTCCCGCCGTTCCCCTCCCTGTCCCCGCTTAAAAGTGAGGGAGACTCATTCATATTGAATCAAGCTGAAGGGGAGAGAGAACATTGAGGACAAGACAGCGCGTTCCTCAGACAGATGCGTTGAGAAAGACGCAGGACGTGGAGGGAGAGACGGATGGATGTGTGTGGACACGCGTGTGTGGACAAGCAGACATCTATCTCACACGTTATCTCGCTCCATGTATTAATATGCTGCTACAAAAGAAAGAGAAGAAGAAAAAAAACCTTCTCAGCAGATAGATGAATACATTTGCTCCCGTTCGGGGGGGGGGTTACTGGTTCACGATGACATTTATGCTCCGGTTCGCCCCCCAAAGGTGTTGGATGACGTTCAGGTCAGTGAGGTCAAGTTCTTCCAACCCAGAACTTTTTAGTGGAACGACAGATCGACTGCTTCTACGGTCCCGTCTCACCAGCACCGCCCCCTTGCACCATAAAGTAACCAACACATTAAACCATTTTTTAAATCCATCATGACGCTACTATATATGCAAGCGACTATAGAAAAACAAACATTTTAAATAATGTAGGATGAAAAAAAAAAGAAAAGAGAGAATAAGCTTCTCATTTTTCAGTCACTGCTTATAATGAGCTGAGTGGCTAAAGGCCAAACCCACCTACACATCAGGAGCAGGTGGAGCATATCAATAATATAATGATCGCCTCCTAATACATGCAGCTGAACTTTCTGAACGAGCACATTTGCAGGTCAGTCTAGCAGCATTCCACCACACGGGTCAATACACACACACACACACACACACACACACACACACACACACACACACACACACAGGGTTAATAAATGCTCATTTTCTCCTTTGATAAAAAACACACCGAAAATGGAGATGAGCACATACTGCATGCGCCTTTAGTTCATACATTGTTCTTTTGCACTGTGCTAATGCAAAGTTATTCAATGGTTAAAGCTGTATCAATGTGTTAAATCATAGGTACTGGTTTAACTCGTGCATTCTCTGTCACACACTGTTGTTGAAAATATTATTGCTTTGTTAAAATGTTGGATCTGCCCTAACCATGAAAAACAGCTCCACGCACTAATGGTGTGTCCCCAGTTGTACTTTACCAGCTTCTCTGGATGCACACACTTTGGGTATAGCGCACTCTAGTGGCAGGACAAAGCTATTCCGACCTCCAAACACACACACACACACACACACACACACACACACACACACACACACACACACTAGTGAAAGTGAAGAAAATGCATCGTGTTCTCACAATGTGAAACCAGCCAGGGTGGATTTGAATACGTTAAAAACCACGAGCCTGAAACCAAACTAGAGGAGCGCGGACTGCAGATGGTTAAGCGCTGGCGGCAGGAGAGCCGGAGGCCGTAATGCTGCGAGAACGAGAGAAAGGGAGGAAAGTGAGCGAGGAGGATGAGAGGGAGAGCTGCAGCCCGGGCCGACCCGCCCGTCTTCCCTACGCTACACGCTTTATCCATTACCACCGAGAGAGACACACACTCAAAGTTTCTTAATCCTCTGAGACAGAAGTGGATGGAAGGACCCTCTCCCTTTATCTTTACCCCTCTTTATGTGTCACACACACACAAACACACACACACACACACACACACACACACACACACACACTGATGTAGGGTCGGTTTTGAGGGAAGGAGAGAGGAGGAGTGTGAGGGTGCATCCCCTTGAGTGTGAGAGACGATGGAGGCACTTAAAAAGACAAGAAGGAAGACATGAGAGCTGTGTAGGGAGAGAGAGAGGCTGGCTGAGAGGAATAAGGTAATAAGATTCTGCAAATACCGGAGCGTGAAATGAGATCAAGCCTTAAACTCGCAGAAAAACTCATCCACTTTAGACCGCAAAACCTCCACCACCTCTCATTTTCATGGTCATTTGAAGACACACGACCAAAGTGAATCCAAGTCTCTTGGCGGCTCGACATTGCTATTGAGATAAGATTTCCCCCAGATGTGTACACTGGTGTCAAGATGTTTTGTATGTTATGCTCATATGGATATATCTGCAAATACACCTCCATGTCTCATACGTATTAAACCCATGCATATTAGAGCAGCACTAATCGTTCCAGCCGTGGACAGGCTTTGTGTGAGTGTTTGCTAGTGCAAACCCTCAGGGGCCCATATCAATGTGGGCGCCGCTCGCCCCCCCTTCCCATTAGCAGCTATATGCAAGCCTCAGCACACTGCAGCTCAGCAGTGAAGGGCTGCAGCCGTGGTTCATTGCTAAACGGCTGAGGGTCGGTCTGGAGCGGATGCTCGGAGCAATGAGCATAATTATGGAGTTTTGAATGCAGTTTGTGCGAATTTTCATTAAATAATAATGAGGCGGATTCCACTGATGATTAGTTAAAACTCCAGAATCAGCAGGAATCCACCACACACGCATTTTAAAAGGGTTTCATGCGCGCACGCTGATGTGCATGTACACGATTTAGGTGCTTTTGTGCGTTCTTCTCTGAGTGCACGTGAGTCACCTGCAACGGTGAAAAACAGTCGTATCAACTGCGAAAAAGGACAAAGACGTTCTTGAAGTCCACCCACCTGTCGTGGTCTCGGCCGACGCCCCACACACGGATGCTGCTGATTGGCTGAGAGTGGAGCAGGCTTCCATCGTCCGGGTCAACCAGAGTCAACATGCGGTCTTGAAGCACAAGCAGCATCCCTTTACCCTGTGAAACCACCAGAGGAGATCAACTCACTGGGATTCATTGTTTTTTTTGGGGGGGGGGGGGGGACTTCTTCTTCTCCCTGTTTGAAGCCCTCAGGCCTTTAAAATTACACAAAGTGTACATTTTATTTTGAAATCCTTTAGGTTGCTTACCGTCAGGGGGCAAAACCCAACTTAAAAAAATATTTTCTTACATATTTGTATTTTCCAATAAACCATTAAACATTCTGCTGACACATCAACGTTTCAAATGAGAGTGTTGAAAGTGGACACGCGCCCCTGTAGACCCGCGCTGAGACCGTCCGTCTCTGCTGCTCACGCACTGACCTCCCCCCAGACGCCGGCGGAGTCGCGTATGTCCCTCCGGCAGTAGGACAGCTGTCTGATGCAGTGGTGGACGGCCAAGCTGCTCCTCCCCTCACACAGGTCCTGTTCAGCCATCTCCACCCAGCCCAGAGATCGCACTGGGAATGACTGCAAGGATCACAACACACACACACACACACACACATTTGATGATTCAGTTTGGCTGTTCATACAACAACAAAATAATTGGTCAGAATCTTATAACAGAGCGACGTTGCTCTAATAAAATATTATTGGTAAGACGATTAGAGCAAGAAGGTCCTGGGTTCGATTCCACCCAGTGGCCTTTCTGTGTGGAGTCTGCATGTTCTCCCCGTGTCTGCGTGGGTTCTCTCCGGGTTCTCCGGCTTCCTCCCACAGTCCAAAGACATGCTCTGGGGATCAGGTTGATTGGGGACTTTAAATTGCCCGTAGATGTGTGAATGTGAGTGTGCATGGTTGTGTGTCTCTGTGTAGCCCTGCGATTGGCTGGCGACCAATCCAGGGTGTACCCTGTCTATCGCCCGAAGTTGGCTGGGATGGACTCCAGCCCCCCCGCGACCCTGTGTGCAGGATAAGCGGTTTGACAATGGATGGATGGATGGATGGAAGACGATTAGATTAGTTGTAAAAAAAAAAAGGCTGGATTTAGGTGCTAATCCAAAGCACAATCCAATAGATGATAAACATAAATAATGTACAGATGACAAACCTTTTTTTTCTCAAGAAAAACGGTGTGTTTGCACAATTAGGCGAAGTAATACAGTTCAAAGCTGAAGCGAGATGTCACTGAAAATAAACAGTTTGGGTAATTTCATCTTTATTATTATCCACCAGACAAGTTTGGCTAATATGTTGGTTTGTTTTTGCCCTGTACGACTACTTTACAGTGAACACTTTCAAAGATATATGGGATTCATTTGGAAAGGAGATTGTCATCAGAATAGAAACATAACAGAAATATGGTCCAAGTCAAAGTTAAAACCAACACGCAGGAACTCAAAAAACATTCCTCTTTAAGTTTAAGATTTTCTTACAAAGGTAGAATACAGCATGTAACGACAGCCACACACACACACACACACACACACACACACACACACACACACACACACACACACACACACACACACACACACACACACACACACACACACACACGGCTGAAAACAAATTCCCCATAGTTCAGTTCACTGAGTCACCACTAGGTGGCACTGCTACAAAGACAAAGAGAGGACAGGGTGTCAGTCAGCAGGCTGGTGACTTCCTTCTTCAGCATAGAGGCTTTGCTGAAAGTCAGTGACTTCATGACCGAGGATCATGTGCTCCTTAAATTGTACAGTTACCACATTTATTTATATGTGGAATACTATGTTACCAAGAACTAATAGTGTTTGAATGCATATTTGAACCCTGCCGTCGAGAGGATTTTGGGCTTTTGTAATAGTGATTTAGTCCAACGCAGTCGCTGCACACACCGTGTGTCCTTAAGCAAAACAAATCATCATTAAATCAATATTAATAAATACATCTGCACTGTAACACCGTCTAGCCACGAGCTATGGACCATCCTAACGTTGTTATTTCAAACCCCAGTGTTGACTCTGTTGTGATTTGTTGTTGTTGTTGTGATCGTACCATTGCCTCTGGGTGGGAGGAGGAATTGTTGAGGTCCACTGTCTCTAGCTGGGCCGAGGCGCTGCAGGGAAACAAAAGACATGACAAATAGCCTGAGTGTATTTACTCAAATAATACATGACATTACATTCATCTGGAAATGACACGTAGGTCTAAACTGTAGAGTATGTTAATGTGTATTACCTGAGCTTAAGTGAGGCATAGCGGAGGGTAGCACCTTCAAACGCCTTGAGACTGGGATCCGGGTACACTGGATAGTCCTTCGGCTCCTGAAGCAAAGCACACGGACAGTCGGTGGTGGACACGATATCGGTATCACCAACTTATCTGATCTGGTTTTCATATATCTGAAGATGTCAATACTAATTTGAACTTATTATGAGAGATGTCCATGTTGTGATGTTCACCTCAGACGAGGCCTGGAGGGTGATCAACGTGTGCTCATTCAAAGCTAACAAACAAAGTGATGAGAGACAGCGCTGCATAACTAAAGTGAGTATAACTAAAATGAAGCTGCACAGACACCATATCTGCCATTCTCTGTATAGCAGAGGGACAATATGTCGCCATATAAAACCCTATAACTCTTTATGTTTATAATTGAGATTGGACAACCTATAGAGGCAGCTGTTTAAAATGTGTGTTTCACATTCCCGTTCAGGCCAATATTAATCAATTAATATCCCAAAAATACATTTTAACTTTCACAGAGAGCGACACGATTCCAACAAGTGAATACCCAAATAAATGCGACTCTGTGACTCACGGTGGCTGTGCCGGTGCTGGTGTTGAGATCCGCAAAAGAAAAGGTGACATCATCTAAGACGGTGGACGAGGAGGGGGAGGGGGAGGAACCAGAGGGCGAGGGGACCGGCTCCACCGAGCTGTCAGATATCAGACTGCTGGGGCGCTGTGTGTGACGGAGAGAGGCAGCACGAGAGACGTTTATCCATTCATCCATACATTTAGCTTTGTAAAACAGTGCGTAATCGCTCTGAACATTAAGTACATTGGTGTGAAACACGATCCCGGTGTGTGTGTTCTGTTGCGCGTTAAAAGTGAAATGAAATGAGTGCTCAGAGTTGTTACTCCCGGGGCTCCTCTCACCTCGTTGGGAGGGTTCAGGGAGTCACGCGCTCCCTGCTGTGTGTCGTGCTCGGTGTCTGGGCCCTTGCTGGGGGAGGTGTGTTCGTCGCCCGAGGCAACAGGTCGGTGGTACTGTGTGGTGCCAGTGGGGATGTGCCAGAAATAGATCTCTGATGAATCGGAGATCTCCCTCCAGCCCGGGGGCAGGTTCCCCTCACCCCACACGTCTGCTGATGGATGACAGAGGCACATAAAGACATATTGCATACGAGTACGTCACACAAACATCAACATATGCGTGCTTGCGCACAGGAAGGCTATGCAATAACACATGATCATGACGCACCACAAAAGGCTGTTCACACACACACACACAGGGATGGACGGGCACATTTCACCGATGATCAGCATGTCTCTACTCTAGTTTCTGTTGTCATAGCAACTTGGGCCCATCCCCTGTAGTTGGACCCAGTGAGCAACAGCATCTCTCCTTTTCTGCCTCTGCTAGTTCTTTTTATACCTTCTTATATCTCTCTCCATCCCGTCATGATCTCAAACTATTGCCTTCATCCTCCTTTTTGTCATCCTTTTAAATCCTCTTTTACTAAAAAATAACAGCTTTGTTTTTATTCTCTCCCTTTTCACACCCTGCTATCTGCATTACCTATATCCTTCTATCCATCCTAGTCCCTCCCTGCACCATAAGGGGGATCCCTTGGGCCTCGTAGGTCCTGCATTGTTGACTGGTTTGGCCATGAAGAGGCTGATGGTAAATTCCGTGATGAAGGTTGGAGGTCGAAGGACGGAAAAAATAATTCGGATTGAAAGGGCCGCGCGATAGGGGCATTAGTAAAATAGGAATGGAAAGACAAACATACACACATGTCAAACCTGTCTCTCTTGGAGTCTGAGGGGACGGTGTCTCCTGGGACAGCGTGGTCCAGCTGGAGTCTTCCTCCTCTGACGGAGTTTCAGGAGTCAGATCCATCCTTAAGCCCACCCTAGGGAGCCCGGTGTCATGTCCAGCATCCGGCACGGTGGGGGGAGCCCGGTTCCTGGTGGGGGTGTACCTTTCCGCAGTGCGGGCCAGTTTGGGAGAAGAAGGCGGGAACTGTTGCAGGAACTGGTTCTCGTTGTTGGGGTGCAGCTCGACCTTGATAACCCGGGGCTGGGAGCTCCGGGGGGGTTTTGCAGGACTGCGTGGACTTGGCTGGACCTGGGCACAGAGCTCCTCTCGGATCTGGGCTGGAGGAGGGTTCTGGAGTCGGTTGTGGTTGTCTGGGACCCACTCTGGGCTGTTGGTGGAAGAGGAAGAAGTGGGTGAAAGGGGAGCTTCCAACACTACTGGTAGCAGGGGCTGCCTTAGTTTATGCGTGGGGTCAACGTCCTCCTCTTCCTTCTCCTCCTCTTCCTCCGCCACCGGCTGCACCTCTTCCTTCTCTTCCTGGCAGGTCTGCTTGCTGATGGGCTTCTCCTCCTTTTGGCTCTCCCTCTCCTTAGCAGGGCTGGCCTGCTCTTTCTCTGGAGATGGCTGCTGCTTCTTCTCCTCCTCCTCGTCCTCTTTGTTTCCCAAACTCAGGTCCAAATCCCAGCCCTTCCCTGGATGCTCGAAGAAGCTCTTGGTCCTTCTGCGGAACGGGGGCAGCTGCGAGTTGTCTTTTCCTAATTCGAGCCAGTCAGAACTGGGATTATTGATGAGATCGGTGTGAATTTTGCCCTCTGTGTTGGCCCGGCTCAGCTCCTGCTGCTGACTCTCAGCTCGTCTCTGCATGTTAGCGCCATTCTTGGCCAGTTTGGGGTTGGTTGTGTTAAACAGCGAGGAGGATGCCGAGGATGAGTAGAGGGCGGAGCTGGAGGAGGACTTGGTCGGTAGACCCCTCCCTCTGGTCGCAGGTTGGTTTTTGGAGGACATAGCCAAGTTGTCACTTATCCCCATGGCGCTCCGCACGCTGGTCATGGCGTACCTCTGACGGCTCTTTGGCAAAGTGGCCGAACTTCCGCTTTCCATGGACTCCTTGATGACGTCTCGCCCGAGCAACTGGTTGTATGAGGATCGAAGGCTAAGCGAGGTGGGAGGAGTCGCAGAGGTGCCGCTGCGGTTGGCCAGCCCCACGTTCGACGGGGAGGAGCCAGAGCGGGAAAGAGGAGGAGTTTGTACCGACATCATGGCTGAAGGGAAATACACTGTCGGGATAGAGCTGATGAGAGAGGAGACACGCCGTCAGAAGACATGTTACAGTGTATAATAAAATAAAACCCAACTGGTTTTGAGGTCAATGCCATATTTGATATGAGATATTTAAAAATGAATCACATGTTAACACACAAACACGTCACGTTATGGATTTTCATTTGATTATGAAGATTGAGAAGGAAGTATTGCTCATTTTCCCTAAAGCAGACAGAGTGAGAACAACACTCCTTCCTGATGGTGCGAGCTCTTTGTATGGCTTCTCATCTCTCGGTGGTCGGTCACTGGGTTAGTTCATTTTTAAAAGCATTGTTCTCTGGCCTCTCAGCTTAGAACTTGTACTAAACTGTAATGCTACAAATAATTTAACACACAAGTAATGTCTGGGTGCGTTCCCCGTGTGTGTCTTTGACCATCACAGGGGGGTGACATCATCGAGTCGAGATGTTCGGTGCGGTGTCGCTCATTTGCATTTCTCTATCTGCTCTTGGAAACCACGAGCAGATAGAAACATCTTCCTCTTTGCTCTCAGACTGCAGCTCAGCCCGTCTGAGCAGCCTTCATTTATAGAGCTGATTATTTTCCAGCCTTACACCCCGTTTCACTTAAGGTGTCACTGTTGAAGCGTTTCAAACACACTGCATCAAAGACGTGAAGCTGGGTCGCATTTGCATGATGTTATGCGGAGTGAGTCAGACCATCGATGCATTCATCCAGGACTCACACAGCTGAGCAGTGAGCCCGTCCGCGGGGAGGCTAACCCGCTAACCGTGTCTCTCTCCTCTCTGGGTGGATCAGCCCTGTGATGCTGAACAATGACAGATGGATAGCAACAAAGACAGTAGCAGAGTCAGCGGGATTTCAAGACACAGCACATGTATGGGTTGCTTTACCGCCACGTCAGTCTTTGAATGATCCAACTGGTTCTTAACTGTGAGAAGATGGTTAACGGCTGAACACAGACACAGAAAAACACCACCGCAGCGCCTTTTGACGAGAAACCTGGAAAATACCAACACAGCTGATTTTAAAGCATGACAAGATCTTGGGAAAGGACAGAGGCAGGATTTTGGAAAGCGCAGAATCTGTAGATACTGCACTCTTTTCATGCGGGGCCCCTATGCCCCCCCCCTCTCCCCGGGCGGTTTGTCCCTCTGTCACCTAACAAGACAAGCAAAACAACCAGTTTGTGCTGAACCTTCACGCTCACACGCCGGGCCTGCGGTCAGACGCACAGACGGCGTCAACAGGTGCAATCTACCTCCGTCGAGTCCAGCAGCCTCGTCACATGATTCGTAGGTGACTAAGTCAAGTGGTGCACATTGTCTCCAGGCTCAAATTCACCTCCTGAAATGTTGTCCTTTAAACCTTTCAAAAGAGAATGTAAAAAAAAAGGCATTCACACCAAACTAAATGACACAGCAGCTGGATGGTTTCCACCAGGAAGCTACAAACTGAGCCCTGAGCCGACGGAGATGAAAATCATAGCAGATGTGTTGCATGACTCACAGGACAAATAAAAAATCCTGACACGACCCCCCCCCCCACCCCCCAAAAGACACAGAGTGATGAGCATGCCGCATTCTTTCCGCTCTTTTTGTATACATCAGTTGCAGACAAACTGAACCATCTTTTAATTTCTCTACGGCCATGCAGGTCTTCATGGGGTACAGAGCAGAGCAAGGAGAGAGGATGCGAGGGAGGATGGGGGGGTGGATGAGGGAGGGAGGAAGGTTATTAGAGAGGAGAATGACACTGCAGTTTGCAGGACAGTGGGGCCACAGTCAACACACGGTGTTGTTCTCAATACATCTGTTGTGGTCTCCAACAGCTGAGGTCATTCATGAGATGAAAAAAGATTTAAGCAGCTGGTCCCAGCAGCAAACTTTACATCGTACTGATAAAGAATAATAAAGTCATTATTCATTCTGCTGCTCCTCCATACGTTCACTCTGCTTGCAAATATATGCCAAGAAACAGAAGACAGAAATTACAGGGATATCGTGTGACAATAATAATAATACAACTTCTCGACAGACAAAATACAATGTCATCTCTATGTTTTTGGATTAACCTTCGTAAATGTTTTTACGTTCATTCGGCATGTAGGCAAATTTACAGAGAAGACTGTTTTTAGGCCTGAAGGTCACATTACAGGGAAAGATCAACTTCTAGTTCATTCAATGCATTGGATATTCATCATCGGGTAATATCTCCCGACAGACATGGCAGCCCGCCGCTATAACTCACTCCCTGTAAGAGGAGGCCTCCTCTCTCAACTCCGGACTGCTCCCTCTGCTTCACAACGGAAACGCAACAGATGAAAGCGCAATCTGGAGACAAAATGAACTCGAAAAGTCGATGATGATGTCATGCGTGGACTATCTTGCCCCCCCCCCCCCCCCCTCTTTTCTTGGTTCCGGCTCATTAAACCTCCTCACAGCGTTAGAACCTCTTTAAATCCACCACAGCGCTCAGGATGGAAAAGTGGACCTCCCATTTTTTGGGCGGAATCAAAGCTGTCGATTTATGAAGAGACGCAATAACATCACCGGCATCGAGCACCATCACCCCGCCGCACTGGGAGGGGAGCGCGTCCCACCGAGAGCATCTATTTACATCCACTCACCGCTTCAGTCAGCCTGCGGGCTTCCGCTCCCACGACGAGACGCACACGGACACACGCACGCACGCACGCAGCAGTGAGCAAGTCCGAGATCGACAGCGGCTTTTATGTGCCACTCCGCCCCGTAGCTGCAGCCGGCCGTCCTTTATCGGATCACATCATCTGCCCTCCCCAGCGCGGCTCGGTGGTTCGCTGGCGGCCGCGCTCAGCGTTCTCTCTGCGCCAGAAGGAGCCCGGAGCGGCGCGGCGCTGTGGAGCGCGCAGCGGCCAATCACCGGCGCGGACGCAGGACGCACGGCGCGCGCACGGGGACGCAACCGTAATAAATCTTCCGGCCTTCTTACTTTGCAAGTCGGGTAATGAAATCACACATCATCGGAGGGCGTCACGTGGTGCTGCGAAGAGCCGCGCTGCGCCGATGACTCGATGTTGTGCGAAGATTTACTTTGTTCCTTAATTGTGTGCAGTGAAGTTATTGCAATGAGGACACGCCCACACTATGGCATCTACGTCTAGTTATTGTTACAAAACACAGGATACTGATTTCTAACTGCAAAAAATAAGCAGCAAGGCACCCGTAAATGCTTTTAAAGGATTCATTTTTAATGTGTTTTTTTCCCTTTTATAATCAGTACATGATCTTCCTCACAGTGCAATAGTTTTAAATTTAACGTTTGAACCAACCAAACACATTTGTTGTCTTGCTCTTCCACAAAGAGAACGTAAACAGTCATACTGAACATTCTACTTTAAAGCACTTTATCGGTTTCAGAGCATGTCACAATTATATAACTTGCTTTTATATGATTGATACCACATGAAACCATTACAAGGCACATTAGATCACATTTCTTACCCACAGAACTTAAAATGGCAAAAAACAATAATGCATAAAAACAAATAAAAATATCTTCTATATTTCAATTCTGCACACAATATTATAAAACCGTATATCCAACAGGTCATTCAGCCTTATAGAACATCTCAAACTGAATATCGATAAACAAATAAAGTATAAAATAGATTCACTGTAATCCAGACGTCACAATATGTACACAACTAACACACCTTGACCTTTCTCCTCTGGTGAATATACATTCACATTTACAAAATACATTCCTCAGCTAGATTGTACAAACTCATGAGAACTATCCGATGCCCACAGTCCACTGGCAGGCCGCTCCCGCAGTGCTTCGTGGATGCAGGTGAAGCGGCGAGGAGGACAGTGACGGGGACACACACAGGCTCCCGGTGCTCCAGGAATGAGACAGCAGTGGAAGGGCGACAGGGCGACTGGAGGCGGGGGGGACGCGGAGGGCCGTAGAGGAGAGCGGCCGCTTCAGCCGCCGGTCGGCTGCAGGGAAACACGGAGCAGAGCGGATGCAGCGCAGCACTGACTCTTCTGCTGAGGAGGTGACAGAAGAAATGAATAGCTGATATTCTCACAGGTTTATTGGCTCATTAAGAGCTCATCACATGCAGTGTCATCACTAACAAATGCGCACAATCCAGTGACTAACACAAATGTGAAGTGTTCCCTTTGTGCCTACCCTTGTTGAGCGCATCGCTCAGAGGCGTCAGTAAGCTCTTGGCCTGCTTGTTGCCTGCGCGAGCGGCTCGCTTGTAGTATTCAACAGCGGTCCTCAGATTCTGCTGCACCCCGAAGCCGCTCTCAAAACATTGACCCAAAAACAGCAGGGCGGTGTCGTCCTGCGCACATGACCAAAAATGAACGTGTGATTTAGCCCATATATGCTTCCGGAATTTGGGACTAAATGAAAGCATTTGTGAAGAGGTCGGTAGAAAAAAAAAATGATATTACAATATTACATCAAATTAAACCACACCAGGAACATGAATATACAAATGTCCCTATCAGGGGAAAGACAACAGATTGGTGCGTCTCAGCAATGAGACAATCCGAAATGCTGTAGCTCTAAAAGGATTTTAAGACGGTGGGGACACCGTGTTGACAAATACAGAGCGGCTGTGCAGTGGGAGGAGAGGTGAAATCTCAGCTGTTAAACCACAGCTAAAACTTCAGAAGCGTCTAGAAGGCCGATCCAGAAGGGCACTCACTCCGCTCTCTGCTGCCATCTCTAGGTAATGGACGGATCTGCTCCCGTCCCTCACTGACTGGCGGGTGTAGACCGAGGCCAGGCACACCTGAGCCTGAAGAGGAAGAGACACTGTCAGGTATTATTTTCTAAAAACCAAACAGAAAATTAATGTTACGTGTCCATAGCTTGACACTGACTGACTTTTGAGCAGCTCTTTCTGCGATGATACTGTGTGAAAGAATTAAGAGTTAACAAGCGTTTTTCCCGATTTCCCACCTCACTCAGTCCGGCTGCAGCAGCCTGTTCTAGCAGGTGGATGGCCGTGTTCAGCTCCTCTTTACTCTGGTGAGCCTTGCTGGTCAGAAGCAGCTTCGCATAGCGGTACTGGGCCTGGTGGTGACCCCCCACTGCTGCCTGCCAATAGTAATACAGAGCCTGCAAAGGAAAACACACAAGAGTCCTCTCAGAGAGGGTTCTTCACGTGGGAGTCAAGTGAGTGTGACGTTTTTTCAAACTGACGAACCACTCATGACTCTCACCTTGTCCCTGTCCTGAACGACTCCTCTGCCTTTCTCGTAGCACACGCCCGTGTTGAACTGGGCCTTGCTGTAACCCTGCTGAGCTGCAGCTAAAAAACATGTAAAAGCCTCCTTGTAGTTTTCACTGTTGGTACTTTCTAGACCTGTAAACAGAGAGACAACAATATCAGCTGTAGGCGGACAAAAACAAGTATCTAATGCAAAGGACTTGAAAACCCCAAAAAGGGGGAACATTGAGTTGGACTGAATGTTTGAAAATGATTTTGTGTTTGCTGTGTTTAAAATCCCTACCAATGATGTTGAGGATAACGGGAATGCTGCCATCTCCCACATGCCGGAGATTCAGTGCAGCTCCTGCCAGCTTCTGCTCATCAGACAGCATGTCCTGAAAACATCAACAATAAGATTTCAGTCAGTCCTTTGCAGGGATAAAGAGAAACATGCATCTTTTATTAAAATACACTTCAAGGAGGCCGAACTTCACCTTGTCATTGGCATCTGCTGTCTCTTTGCCGTCTTGGTCGGCATCATTCTGCAGAGGACAGGACTCTGACAAAAACAATCCCTCTGTGAGAAAGGCAAGAAAAATGCTTTATTACCCTCATCCTGCAAATACTGGGTCAACAACAGTTTGAATAAACAATGATTTTTAAACTACGACTTGCACAGAGCTCAGAACAAACCGGGGAGAGGATGATCACTGGGAGGCTCCCTGGCGGCCTGAAGACTGGAATCCCCCGAACTGCTGCTGCGGCTCTGAACCGGATCTTGGTTCTGCATCTCTGGTCCCTCCTGCAGACACAACACCCTTCTTCCTCCGGGAACGACATCTCGTCTGGACACTAGAGAAGCCAGGCCGGTGCATTTGAGGGGTTTGGGGTTGAGATGTTAAATGTTGTTTATTTAAAACTCTGGTTTGTATGAAAAGGTGAACCATCAGCTGGCCTTTTTGCTTATTTGCAACAATGCAACTCACAGTTCTCCAGCAGAATGCGGTAGCCACACTTGTGCAGGGTGGAGGGGGCCGTTAGGGCTCCGGGGTTCGGACTCGGCTCAGAGGTCGAGGAGAACTGAGAGTGGATCCTCCTGCAGATCTGCATGAACAGAACTGCTGCAGCGCCCTGCGGTGAAACACTCAGTCAGTCAGTCACTGCTACTCCTAGTACCAACATACTGGCTCCTAGGGATGGTCGAACATGGGCCAATGAGCGGTTACATGCACACAAAAAACACTGTCTATGCAGAGATATCAGGTAACTAAGGAAATCAGACAGCACTTGCGAAGCATATGCGAAGAAAGTGTCCCGAGTGTCGAGTCTCCGTGGCACATTTTTGGCTTCCTTGCTGTACACTAAATTAGCCGTTAACAGGAGACCACCGACTGGTGCAAAAAAAAAAAAAAAAGAATCCGCTAATGGCAAAGGGAGAGAATATGTGAGATCCATAAGTGTACCTGACCAACTGAAGCATATCTTGCACAAAAGGCTTGATTAAGATTTGTGTAATAGTTGTATTTATTTGCACTTGCTAGCTTGACATTCTAACAATCTAATTTGTAAACAGATGTATTTACTACACTTGTACAAACAAATACGTGGGGAGGGAGAATTGTGTGCAGTAAGAAGTTAGTTTTGGTGTTGAAAATAGTTGATTTGGACGAATTTCTTTTCGCCTTGAGGGGGTCTGAATGTCATCATGTACTATTGATCTAATCAGTCCACACGGGTTAAACCATTAGAGGGACCAAGAGAGACGGTGCCTGACTGACACTTTTCTTGAGAACTAACTGTTGAAGAGCTGAAGACGTAGGCGTGTGAGGAAATATAGAGTGCGTTTGACATCAGAGAATGCAAAAGACGCACCCATCCCACAGCATCCAGGGCTGTGTAACGTGGAACCTCAGCAAAGCCGAGACGAAAGCTCCTCTGTTCCTTCCTCCGCTCTCCACCCTCCTCTTTTTGAGAGCTGACAGAAAAACAGCACAAACAGAAAAATGACACATCCGTGTTAGTTTCTATTTTATCATATTAAAACATCACAGAAATATTCAACTTGAGGCACAAAGTTTTGTTTCTGCGCCCTCGACTAACCGTCCTCATGCTTACAGGAGATGCTGTGTGATGATGCAACATGCTGAAAGGGAGGCAGGGAAAGTGCTACGAGTCAAGAACGGGTTCAAAGGCGGAGCAAAGAAATCAGAAAGCAAAGGAGGACGTAGTCTCCGAGGTCTGACCTTCATTCAAAAGGGTTTTTCTTTGCATCAGCTAAGAAAACGGCTTGTGGTTCAAGGGCAAAAGCAGTCATGAGATCAAAGTAAGAAGCAGAGTGCTTTTCTTTCCTCTTTTTTCTCTAGGTTCAATTCAAACCCAAACGAGAAAAAGACGAGGCCGAGGTGTGGAAAGTACCTGCCGTCAGAAGGGTGCTGAGGGGATGAGAGGACTCCAGAGCCGTTGATGATCTCCGCCTCCCCAAGTCCAGCAGGCTGCCCCGGGCTCTGCGGGAGGCGCAAGGAGTTGCTGCCATGGCACCGATGCAAAACTGAGAAGAAAAAATGAATTAATGTACAATATTCACATTTCATTCAAGGTTCAGTCTCCTCGAAACTAACGTTAGGTGACATAAACACGCAGAGCTAACGTTAGCTTAATACAAACACGCAGAGCTAACGTTAGCTTAATACAAACACGCAGAGCTAACGTTAGCTTAATACAAACACGCAGAGCTAACGTTAGTTAATACAAACACGCAGAGCTAACGTTAGCTTAATACAAACACGCAGAGCTAACGTTAGTTAATACAAACACGCAGAGCTAACGTTACGTATTAATAACAGGCTTCTCAAAGAAACAACACGGCATGTGACGTTGATAGTAGAATGTTTCGATGCGGTTACTCTCACCTCTTCCAACAAAACCTTGAACTCTCCACATGGTTTTAGCGTCAGAAGTCTTTAAAGGTTATTTACCGGTACGGCATGTTTATTTATTTATTCATGTTCAGTTTCGTCATAGGCTCGTCTGGCCCCATGAATAGCGAGAGAACTTGACACCCCCCGGTCGTCTGCCCTCCGGTAAATAAAGCGCTCACAGCGGAACACCGGAAGAGGACTTAGAAGTGCTTCCGGTGACGCAACCCAAGCATCTGAAAAAATGGTTCCCAGCGTCATAGCGCCCCCACGTGGTGTCACGTGGGAAAGGTTTTACAGCTGATCAAAGGTGTTAGGGAGCACTGTAGTCTTATGCAACCAGTTTATAACAGGCTCCCCTTTGGTTTATTCTAGATCAATATGTCTGAATAATCCTCTAATGGAGGGGTCACAAAACCAGGAGCCTGAACCTGTACCAGCTAAAGGGAATTATGATTTGCAATTGATTGACTTTAAAGTGACAGTCTGAACGCACATCTAGATAGATCTGTATCCATCTATCTATCTATCTATCTATCTGTCTGTCTGTCTGTCTGTCTGTCTGTCTGTCTGTCTGTCTGTCTGTCTATCTACTTATCTAGTTGAATGGAGGATTCCCTCGGGTTTAGGACTGGATTTAGTAAACCACCCACAGCTCATCAGTGACTGTTTGGCTTTTCTTTGCTGGGCCAATAGATCAAACAGTGACGCACGCCTTCACTCTTACTGGAAACACACACTCTTCTAGTCCAATGGGGCTAAACGGCGGGCCGGGGGGAGGGAGATGTGATGTTGTAAAGTCAGATGAAACTTGGATTAATTCCCTTCACGACCAGTTTCCATGGTGACACAGTCATTGGGTTTTTCAATTACCATCTTCTCTCGGGCAAAAAAGTCTAGTCTACACTAGTTTGTAATGTTAGCAAAATCTCTCTCTGCACTGCCAAATTATATTTGCTGATTCGCCTGAGGCCAAATTTGTCTGGGCAATAAGGAAAAACACTGAGTTGAGCCGGAAGTCCCACCAGATTGACTAATTGAGCAGTTTGTGTTTACCAACGTTTCAGTCTGTACTCAGAATCGCAAATTTGGGAAATTTAAAGCAGGGAGGAGACTTCATATGTGCTAAGCAATTTTTGAATTCCCATTTGCTTTATTTATCTTTATTTTCTAACTTTTAAACCATTTCCTCCAGGTCGCAATTTCTGGCTGCCTGCTGCTTGTTGGCAGCTGTTTTAACATTTACTGTTGTACGATTTAAAGGTACTTTTAACTTTTTCCCTTAAGTACATTCATATTTCCGTTTCAGAGTTTAAAAGGTTATATATTAAGCCTATGCTGAATTATTTGACAAGGTTTTGGATTCATTGCTTCTACTTATGCTTAGTATTTTCTAATTCAAGCATTGGTGCAAGGTCCTTTCTCACACACCCACACACACACACACACACACACACACACACACTCACTGCCGTGATGCGCCCCTCCAGTCCCCTCACCCCGACCTCTGGAATCTCAAGTCCTCGTACTTTTTATTCAGAAGAAGGGGAGGGAGGTGGAACCCAACTGGATGACCCTTTTATTTTGTTAGCTGTGTGTGCTGGTGTGAAGATCTTCTCGTGATGTGTGTGTGTGTGTTTGAGCATGTGACATGTGTACCTTTTCATATACAGGACTTGACCATCTATCCAGATAATCTGTGGACATTGAATGGAGGATTACGGAGGAGTTGTTGAGCTCAAGATGTAGTTTGTTTGTTTGTTTGTTTGGGGCCCTCGAGCTGGAGAACACGCGTTTCCGTTCTAGTGAAGACTTGACTCTCCTTATACATCTGCACACTTCAAGGCCTCCAAACCTCCAACAGCTTGAAGTGAGAACGAAAGAGTGAGATTGGTGTACTAAATGAAGTGAAGGGGGCGGGGGATTTAAAGAAAAGACACATGGGGGGGGTCCTTGCCCCTCTCCTCCCTTTTTTTCTCTCTCTCCCTGCTGGTCTCCTTGGTCACACACACACACACACACACACACACACACACAAACATGGACGAGGGGCTCAGTCCTGCGATGGCCACCAACCCCTCGGAGGAGAGCTCTCCGGTCCCGGCCGCCGCAGCTCCACAGCAGCCCGGCTTGGAAGCCCGAGTAGAACCCGGCCCAGCGGTGGTGATGATGCCTCCTGAGCCCAGCCAGGCCCAACCCGGCGGGGCAGAGAAAGAGGATGAGGAAGACGAGGACGACGGGGGAGGCTCCGTGCGAGTGGCGGAGAACGCGGGTGGACAGAGTGTGGACCCGGAGCGGGTGGAGGAGAGGTTCAGGATTGACAGGAAGAAGCTGGAGAACATGTTGTACGGTGAGTGAGCGGAGATGTTCCTCACGCTGAGACTAACCATGCACGCCGTTATCATCTTCACTCTCCAGCTCTGCCCCCTCGGGTGTCTATTCAGAGGCTGTTTAATGTGACGTCTGTGTGGTTTGTGTGTGTCTGTCGTGCGTTAAGATGTGGGGGGGGAGGCACCTGATCCCGTGTGTCTGCCAGGTCCTCCAGCTGGCTGCGCGCTCGTCACACCATCGGTGTCACTGCCATGCGCTTTACTCATGGGGCGGCCCCCCCTCCCCCCTTCCGCCCACCCCACCATGATTTATGACCTGCAATGGCAAATTAATTCAGAAGTCTTTCTTGCTGTTATCATTCCTGTGTGGGAAGCAGAGGTACCTGCCCCCCCCCGTTAGTCATCGCCCCCGTGCTACTGGGGTTACTCGTACACGTTCCTTTTGGATCTTGCAGTTTAAAAAACAACAAAAAACATTGTGGTCAAGTGGGAGGTCTCCGCGCCATTGGTGTGATTAGTTGTCTCTCGGCTAATTTGTAGTCCCCCCCCCCCTCCCTCCCCGACCACCACCTTCTCCCTCCGTCCCACACTGTTCTCTTCCCATTCCTCAGCTCTGGCCAGCGTAACCCATAGCGATGAGGGGAGAGGGGGGGGTGTGGCCGTTCCTGCCCCCCCCAATCTCCCTTAGCCTGTAAATGTCACCGCGGAGCGATGGCCTTTTAAAATTGTTTATGTTCCCGGCAACCTCTTGTTCCAGTCGCTTGGCAAATCTCACACAGGTCAACATTTAAATGTTGACTTTGCACACAAGCTTGATGTGGAACGCTTGTGCTGCAAACAGAGGAACTTTGTGCTACTGACCAACACAACGTGATAAAGCACATTGCAGGAAAAGTGCGGTCCTCTTTATCTGTTTATTTTTTATGTGTTCTTCCAGCTCCGAGGCACGGAGGGGGCGAGACAGGGGAGGAGTTTTTTGAGAGAGTAAGTACAAGGCCGCACTAGGTAAGAGGTATTTACAATTCTAGCAGCCATCCTCAGTGAACGCCAAAGATAATTCTAGTGCAGAAGGACTTCAGCTGGAGCGTTGCCATGTCGACATTTGTTCCACACTCTGCATCCAGTGTTTACTGGTTTCGTGGATGTGATAATTGTAGTCTTTGAAATGCAAACAGGGCTCTGTATTCACGGGGTGGAAGCGATCGGCTGTGTTTCGGTGTGTCATTAAGTGTTGCTGTTTGCGGCACACAATGAGGGCTCTTTCTTCCTCCCCTTCCTCGCTCCCTTTGTTTCCGCTTCCACAGGTGATGAGAGAAACTGACACTCAGGTGAGATGGCCGTCCAAGCTGAAGATTGGAGCCAAGTCAAAGAAAGGTGACGCCACACGAGTGCTGTGTGTTTTGTCTCCATCCTGTCGCAGATATTTCTACGTTCCAATGGGATGACGGAACATTTTCCTTTTCCCGTGTAACCCATTTAGAAGTGTATAGAACCTAAACTAAACTCCTGTATCGATCCAGATCCACATGTGAAGGTGGAAGGGAAGCAAGACAATGTTCTGAACGCCAAGAAGAAGATACTGGAAGTGCTGGAAACCAGGGTGAGGGTCATTTGTTTGTATATTTAAGTCAACAACATATGGTTTTCATACTCTACATCATAATTATGAATCATCTCTTTGCTATAACAGTTAAGTTGATAGAGGAAGAGACCGTGCAGCTACTTTGTGCCTAATGGATCTGAATCTGTATGAATTTCATTGCGGTTACAAATTCCAGGTGAACAAGGTGACTTTAAAGATGGACGTGGCCTACACAGAGCACTCCCATGTGATTGGTAAAGGTGGTGGGAACATCAAAAAGGTGATGGAGGTCACATCGTGTCACATCCATTTTCCCGACTCCAACCGGCACAACGGGACGGGAGAGAAAAGCAACCAGGTGACAACATATGATGCGTGAGATACTCAAGCAGCTTTTGACCGAGACACTGACTGCCAAGATGCAAAAATCCAACATTCATTTGTTCATCAACTTCTACCAGGTCTCTATTGCTGGACCCATAGAAGGAGTGGAGGAGGCCCGGAGGAGGATAAGAGTGAGTGTTCACTGTAATAGAAACTGCACAGGATCGATTTTTATGCGTCTCAAAACGCAGTTTCTTCACTCTGGGTTCTTCACACATCAATAGAATGATTAGAAGCTCTGGCACCGAGCTGACAGGTATATCTGTCAAAAAAGCCACCGTCTGCCCCACATCTCCTCATTTCCACCCTCATCCGCTCTCTGCCTCTTCTCATCCCACTCTTTTTTTTTTCTTCTTCCAAGGACCTTCAGCAGTTGTCCTTGACCTTTGACCTTCCAGTCAGCCTGGTGCCCCAAGCTCTGCCAGACGCAGGCTCTCCGCTCATCCAGCAGGTAGTGCAGACTTTGGGGGTCAGTGTGAGCTTCAGGGCCGTGCCACCTCATCCTCAGGCGCGACCCAACTTCTACGAAAGCTGCTGCACCGTCTGGGGCCTGCAGGGCAGCGCCGCCGCCGTCAAGGTCAGCGTCAAACATGGAGAGTCCAACTGGATCCCGTTCACAGGTCATGCACCTCAGAATAAGGTCCAATGTATGTCGCCCGCTGGCAGAAGGCAACCTGCATCCTGATGGATCTGTTGCTGGGGTCGGAGGTCACGGGCGGCACGGTGAGCAGCCAGATGGATGTCACGTCCCAGCAGCATCTCTTTCTGTTGGGGCAGAACGGAGCTCACTTTCTGAGCGTCATGCACCAGACCCAGACTCAAATCATCCTCCCGGACCTCAGCGCTCCTCAGAGCCCCCCGTCACTGCTCATCCAGGGAAGCCCCGAGGGAGTGTGCCTGGCTCGCCAGCAGATGATGGTACAGCGCCGGGGTTTTACTTTGTTGGCAAGGAATTAGATAAAAGAGCCATAGTGTGAGGTAGAGAGTGCAGATGTTTGTTCTTGTGATTTCTCGCATATGTCAAAATGTGTTTTTTTCCTTTTCTGTGTTCTTTGTGTCTGTACGCACATCCAGGACTGTCTGCCTGTGTGTTTGATGTTTGACATTCGCGAAGACGGAGAGGCGGATCCCTGTAAACTGGCTCAGATGATGCAAAACCTGGGAGTCTTCATCAGCGTAAAGCCCAAAGTAAAACAGACCAGCAAGGTACAACTTTATCGGCGTAGATTTGCTGCTTTGTCCTCACAATCTCCTCTCCTCGCGTCCTTTGTTTTGTTATGATGGAACTAGTCTCACTAAATACTAAATACTAAATAAATAAGGATTTTAAATGCAGTGTGTTGAATACTAACGTACCGTTGTCAGTCAGTGGTGGTGAAAGGTCTGGAACGGAACATCTCCTGCCTTTATGAGGCCCGCCGTTTGCTCCTCTTGTTGGATTCCTGTGAGACCGCCGAGGTAACAGAGATGGCCCCCGAACCCGCGGCAGCCGGCGGCGGGCTGGCCAGCTATTGGCTCAACATGTTGCTGCAGCAGCTGCGTCTCTCCGAGCAGGGTGAGCATGCACACGCGCGTGTATCTCTATGGGTTTGCACCCAATTGTCCTGGAAACGGAAAAGAGCCACTAGTGCAACACAATCATTTAAGGGAAATGATGTACACTTTTGTCAGCTATTTGTTTAACCTCTTAAACTTAAATGTCTGTCAGTTCCATTCAGTTCGATTCACTTTCATGCACATTGCAAAATGTGATGCATGGATGGAAACTTTTTAACTCTGTAAACCAATATGATCTTCATTCACCATCATGTGCCGTCTTCTCGCTCAGGCTCGGTGCCCGTTATCCCTCCAGAGCTGTTATCCGGCACCAAGCTCCGGCCACCACCTCCGCCAGGTCTCAGCCCTCACGCTGACGAGGGGAGGACGGGAATGAAGGGAACAGACAGCCGCCCGCTGGAGAAGGTTGGAGACTGTAGTTGAACCTGGACCTGGACCCGGCAAACAAACCTCAAAAGAAATCAAGGCTAAAAGCACCAAATTCTTCACTAGATCCTAGAAAATGAGGACCAGTCGTGCCAACCAGAGGACGAGAGCCCCGCCGTGGGGGTGATGTCATCATCTGGGGGGTTAACAGGGCGAAGGGGGAGTCTACAGAGCCCTGAAACTACAAAGGTGTTCAACCACGGCAGGCGCCATTCGACAGGGCAGGCGCTGACATACAGGTGAGCGTCACCTGGATAGAACATCTGCTTTCATTACTCGTGGAGTCTTTGTGTCGGCTCACATTAATGAACAAGTGAACTAAACGAACCGAGTCACAGCCTGATGGCCGACCTTCAGGGGACCATGTTTTGGTCTCCAGATGGAACATTGCTATTCACTTCAGCGTGGTTAACACACACACACACACACACACATACGCACACACACTGGCGTGTGCCAGATTGGTCGAGAATGTCTACAAATTTTGTAACAGTTAGAGAAAAGTCACCTCGCGCATCTCATCTATATTTTCCTTTGTTCTTTTTGTTTCAATATGCTTCAATATTTCATATCCATGATGCAGTTTTGCTGCTGTTGCTCTCGGGGAAGAAAATGTCAGATTCTGCACGCGGCAATCAGAGTTTAACCGAACCTCGTCTTTCAAAGTTTTTATTCATGTGGAGGTTTTTTTGTTTCTCCTGAATGTGCCAGATTGTTAAACACAGAAACGGAGGGAGGGAGGAGCGAGCGAAGGAACAGCCTGAAGAGAGACGTGATGATGCCTCAGGATGTTTGCTCTGACTCATCCGAGGCCGAGGTGAGGAAAAACACTCTAATGTGGCCAACCTAATTTAGCAACATCTACAGATGAGTGATAAGACCAACAAGTCTTTATGAACCCCTGCAAGCCGCTGAAGGTGTAGCGATTTAGAGACACTTGCAGAGGAGAGAGAGACAGTGGCAACGCAATTCAACACCTCAAACTTATTTATATCAAACGATAGACGATACAGAAGATTACAAACTGCTGGCGCGTTTGTTGTGTTGTGACCTATTGATTTACAAAACCCAGACCAGGGTGCCATCTGATTTTGAGAATGGTTTTCTGGGTTTGCTTGCTTCTCTTCACGTTTGTTGTCGCTCACTCTTAAAGGTCACTGAGAGGAGGATTAACAAGTTTGCTGCCACAGCAATATGTTCCTTCTGCCCGTGCTGAGCAACCGCAGGGAACAAATAATTCAATTTCATGCATTATTTACCCTCTCTATTTGTTGTTTGTGCTCCGTAGGGATACGACTACGAGAGGAAGAAACTGCTGGCAACCAGAGGTTAGTGCTCCGACATTTTTAATATTTCACCTACTGGGGTTTCAAGAGCTCTGCACAGGCTTCAGCGGGGGAGCCTTTCTTTCCTGCTTCCATGCAGTTCACGTGTTCTGCCAATAGACATATTAAACACACATTTTAATTTGGCTCAAAATGACTGTATGTTGTTGTTGTGCTTTGTCAAACAGCCACCTGTATGGAGATGAACTCAGCACAGGTTGTAAAAGTACTTAGCTTAGCTTCTCAAACGACACTAAATCCAAAAAATCATTTGGTTTTTGTCATGTCGTTGAAAAAACATACTTTAATATCATATATATCATAAGATAAAAGGGGCTTATAATTAGTTCCTTTCAAGTACGATATGGAGGCAATGCGTTGATATCCCGGCCGGTAATAGAGGGAGCCCGTTTCACCGCTGTTCACTGCCAGGGCCACTGATGAAGGGGGCCTGTTTATGGGCTGCACCGTGCCAGCGTTATAATAGAAAAGCACTGGCACTCCCACTTTACCCACACGGGGGCCCAACACACAACCCACACATGCATGCAAACACAGTTGTGTGTGTTCCTCTCCCGAGCATACACGCGTGGACACGCACTCTCTGTCTCACACACAAACACACACACAGGAAACAGCACCTCATCCATCACGTAGAGTGAGAGATACTGGGAAGAGCTGTAGCCAAATGGTACTGAATTCCCTGAGTGTTGCTTCATGAGATTCTTATGAATTAGCACTCTGAATGGGCCATCTGCCTCGCAGTCATTAGGACACCCATATGCCGGTGTGTGAATGGGACATCGACTGGCATAATAACACACAAACCACACAAGTGACCCACTCACCGGTTATAACCCTGTCGATGTCGCGCTCTTTGGAGTGATGTTGCGGTTGTTGTTTTCTGCCAGTGGAGCGCTGTCGCTTCAGAGCGTGTCTTTGCGTCAGCCATTTGAGTTTTATTTAGTATGCAAAATGCTGGCAAGGAGAGGCGAGTCATTATTTAACCCCCAGCTCGTCACATGTTTTGTGTTTTCAAAGCGTGAATTCGTTTTATTGCGCCACCTGTCCAGCATCAATCAGCAGACCACAGCCACCATCTTGTGAACATAGTGGAACATTAGGAAAAGTCAGTAAATGCAAGTTTCTTCTGGCAGCCATGCAGAGGAAGCCCGTGGTCACGGAGGTGCAGACGCCCACCGACACCTGGAGCGGCCTCGGCTTCTCCAAGTCCATGCCGGCCGAGGCCATCAAGGAGCTCCGCAACATCAGCCGCCGCAGCTACAAACCCTACCTGAGCATCGCCAACAGCCAGCCGCAGGTAGCGTCACGCTACGCTCTCTTACCCGGGTGTCTCCAGGGCTCCCTGTAAGCTCTGCAACTGCTCTGTGGCCTTTGAGGGAGAAGCAGACTCAACGAGGTCAATAAGAGCAAGAGGCCTTGCCACTGAAAACCTCCTCACGCCCAATAACTGTTTGACCTTTGGGGGAGGAGGTGCTGCGGTGAAAGCTTTGCAGATGACAGAGTATAGTTCCTATTCAATGCTGGTACAACTTCTGTCTCCTTCTAGCCATACGCTGCTCAGATGGGAAAGGTGTGTAACGGGAGCAACTGTGGCAACTGGAGGGACAGACATGGATCCCTGTCTTCGTCCCTTCTGGTCTCCTCCGCCTCCTCCTCTTCCTCCTCCTCCTCCCCCTCCTCACCCCCGTCCACCTTCGCCTCATCCGCCTCCTCCTTCCCTGCGTTTGTGTCCTCGATTAACAGAAGCAGGAACGACAAACCCTGTGCGTTTGTATTTTAATCTTAGTACGTCCCCTTTCTCTCGTGCACCTCTAACGCTTTGACCTTCGACGTTCAGCGGAGAGCTTCCCGGGGAGCGGCAGCTACTTTGACGGCGTCTGCTCATCGAGGAGGGCGTCAACCTGCAGCCAGCGGAGCCCCTCCCCCCAAATGATGGACGACCTGCCCGAGCTGCTCGGCCAACTCGGCCTGATTAAATACATTGACGTGTTTGAACAACAAGAGGTAACAGTTTTTTTGTCAACTTTCCGTGGGCAGTTGCAAACACGCAGACGGGCTCGTGTCCCCCAGCGAAGGCATCATAAACAATCAATGAGCATTCTGATCACCCGTCCTCATCCAGATCGACTACCAGACATTCCTCACTCTGTCTGACGAGGATCTGAAGGAGGTAGGCATCTCCACCTTTGGAGCCAGACGCAAGATGTTGTTGGCAATTTCAGGTGAGAATTTGATTTTTTTTTTATCCTTTTTTTTTTTTACGGGTGGCAGGTGGGGTTCTTCGCCTCCAGTGACCTCGTGTGTCATTCTGTTGTCTCCCTCCCTGCGCAGACCTGAACAGAGGCAAAAGGAGGCCGTCAGATACACCCGCTGTGAAGCCCGGCTACTTGGAGGGTGGCGCCAGTGGCCGACTGCCGAGAATCGTGGATCTGGAAGTGGCGGCTCAGAGCAATCACTGGTGAGAGGAGAGTCCCAGCAGCTCTGAGCTCTTCGGCATCTCAAACAGTACAGAGGGACACTGTTGGCCGAGCAGAGGTCAACCTGCCATAATTCTGCGGTTCTTTTTAATAATAAGTGGATACGTATTGGGATTCTCAGAAGAGCAGCAATTACTATGCAGACATTTTAGTCCAGCGCCTTTCCACTACAGCCAAATCCCAAAGTTCTTTTTGTAGAAAACCGAGGCAAGGTCTTCTCTTCCAGACAATAAATAAACTGTATGAAGCAGCATGTTGATCCTAGTGTCTTTCATCATCTTAAAGTGCATTAGATATTCACAAAAATGTCATTATAGTGACAATAAATAAATGTTGCCGTCGTCAAGACTGTATTTTTGCTCTTTTACTGGAGAGTTGACCAGGTTGTGCTTCAGGTTCAACAGCACAGCCTGTAGTGTGAACTGGTCCTCTACTCAAAGCCAGGATCCAACCAACAGAGGGCACTGGTGTCACACACTGTGCTTATTAATTCCAGTCACATTTGACTTGCTTGAAAATAATGAACTTTTTGTAGGAGCAAACAGTGTTAACAGCCTTAGAGCTCCTGGTGTACAAGGTGGAGCAGCAACAATCAGATACTGAAGAAGAAAAAAAAGAATTAGAAATCCAAATAGGTAAATGCTTTTATGGCTGTGAGGGTAATGTGACACCTTTTAATGTGGTTTGGTTTCACCCGACTGCGCACCTAAAAGTTCCAATTTAATTAATCACTGTTGAGGTGTGAAGTCACTGAAACCGCTCATGAGTTTGCTGTTTAATTCATTCAGGGAGACGGCTGCACGCAAGCCACTCAGTGCAATCAGACGGACCACATTGGCAGAGTATTAACTGGGCCGCTGTGATCGCTCTCTTCATTTTTCAAATTTGGGATATTGTTGGCTACCATATGTATGCAAATTATCCTAGAAAACCTCTACCGGGGGGGGGGGGGATGAGTGGGCCTGAGCTCACCGAGCTGCCTGGTGCAGCAGCAGCCAAGAATGAAAGAGAGTGCGAGTGGAAGTGGTGGGCTGTGACAGATTAGGGAGAGATGATCCCTACTTATTACAATGTCTCTGCCAATTACACAGGCAGGCTTTATACCAGCGATCCTAAAATCTGCTCCTCTGACCCCGAAGCACTGCTGGATTTCCTTTCTGTCAGGCAGTTAATTGCACTCCCTTGCGGTTGCAGGTCTCAATTGGTCCTTGATGGCAAAGCTAGAATGAAAGCTACCTGGAAGGAGCGGCAGCAATGAGGGGAGCCACTTGGGCCATTCAGCTGCCGAATGCTCTCCTGGCACGTGGCAGACTTCGCTGTCTGGTCTTTTTTTCATTTAAACGGCCTAAACCTCTCAATATTAAGAAGGTGAAGTTGAAGTTAAAGCTTCTCATCATCGGAGGGAAAACAATTGTTTTGATAATGGATCAAATTACACAGTTCATTATATCCACTCTCCCGACTGCATTAAAAGTTTTCATTATGTGTTTGTTTTCATCGCCTGCATCTGAACCGTTTTGCTTGAATCTGAATCAGTTTTCAGCGCCAGCTCACGTTCATGTAAAGTACAAAATATATGCTACCAAACGGCCGAGAGACAGCGACTGGCACAGTAATGCTTGGACCAAACAAAACCATTTCACATTAAATTGGAAACTTCATCAAGCTCCTCTTATTTCGTTCCAAAAAGGGCCACCAGTTGACAAAAACTTTTCGCTCGTCGTAGCCAACAAAAATAAACCCCTCCATAGAGACCTCGAGCCACTGTGAGGATCCACTGTGCCATCTGTGGATAATTAAAAAGCTGCAATAGAGAAATAAAATAGAGGAACCAAATGCCCTGAGGTTAACACAACCACGCAAATGTCTTCCTGAGATGGAGATGGGATTCAGTGAGTGGGAGAGAGGAGGGGAATGGAAACAATAATCAGAGAGAGAGCGAGAGTGTGTGTGTTAATGTATGTGTGCATTAGTGTGTGTGTGAGGACAACAAGGGTTGTAAGTGAGTGCTGATGCGTTTTCGATGTGTCTTGAGGTGTTTAAAGTTAGAAAGTAGAACAAACTTCAATCAAAATGTAAATAATTTGCAGATGTTATTATTTGCATATAACCACTTTGTCTTTTGGGGGCATTTTGTGACTTTTGGTTTTCACTGAGCTGGTGACTGCAGGAGTTGGTGGAATCTTGCATGTAAGTAGGAAGCTGCCGGTGAACTTAGCAAGAAACCAGGGGAGCGTGCTCGCCGAAATGAGTGAATCACATGTTAACTGTTTGGCTTTTGCAGTTTTTGTCACGTCTGGTTAGCTGGTTCTGTTTCTTATCTTTGGACGAAGTTAGCCAGTTGCTAATGGTGGTCTAATATTAAGAGAGCAACGAGAGAATGATGTCAATCTTCACGTCAAACTCAATGGGAAAGAAAAATTATTTTTCCCCACACAATTCAAATTTAAAGAAGGGAAATGGGGAGACTCTTACAGGCACAGCTTCAATGAAAGAAGTAACCGGGCCCATAATTCATGCAAATTGAGGAATAAGGTGGATACAAAGCCGGGGAAAAGCAGCAGACTCTGGAAGTGAAGACGGGCGAACGAGTGAGACGTTTCCTTTGTATCTGACAGATTGTGCTGATTAGGCTGTTTTATTTGGTCGTCCTCTTAGCCTCGGATTGTTGTGTTTTCAAAGTCCTGAGCAGGCTGTTTCCAGCCAGCAGGGTCATCCGTTCTATTAGCCGGTGATATTACAAAAACACCCATCAGGCTTTTATGTTCTTTTGGGCACGTCTGGCTTTGCAATTCTCCTCTCAAAGGCCAGTTATACGAGAAACGTTCCTGCAATCATCTTTGTCTGCGTCTAACAGGAGAGAGTACGTTCTCAAGGTTGGAAAAGGTCAAATATAATTGAAGGCTTTTATTGTTCTTTACAGAGAATAAAATAAAAAAATGTAAATGTGTTTTACGGTTAGGAGAGAGATGTGTATGTATTTCGTCATGACTCGTGCTGAAAACGGAACAAAAGGAGATCAAGAGACACGTGGACACAGACCTGTAAGGTTCAAAAGACACCCTAAAGTGCCACTTTACTTAAATGTTCAAAGTTACAAAGAAAAGTTCACTTAGTTGACAGAGTGAGGATTTTAAATCACGGACATATCCAGTGTGGGGAGGCGGGACAGAGCCTCTTCTCTGCTCGCCGTACTTCATGTGTCCTCCCAGCTCAGGAGCAGCTTCTTCCTCTCGAGTCTATTCACAGAAGCCCTACCGACCAAAAACTAAAACACCAGCCGGCCAATCGCCACAGGTTTGGACTGCAGGCCTCGTAGTTCGATTCTTCTAAACTGCTATCGCTCTGCAACGCCGCCTCCGACCTCCTGAGATTGGGAGAAGAACTAAAAAGACACTAGACAGCATCAACATAGCAACGAATATTGTAGCAGCCAAATAGGAATCACTTTCTGTTTGCGATGCATAGAGCTAGACCTGGCCAGGTAAATCTCTCTTTTACAGAAACACGATGAGGAACATGCAACAACAACGACAATACATCATTTATCTCATTGCTTCCTGGGCTTTCTGGGACATTCAAGATCAACGGTGAAATAATTTACAATCCTCCATGAAATAACAAGAGTGAGAGCGGGGAGCCTCTTGGACGTGTAGTGGGAAAATCTTTGAACACTAGAAGGAGCCTGACGGCGGAACGCAGAGCATGAGGATGAAGCCGCTGACGGAGGGGCAGGGAGGGATTAATCCACTATCTGGGCTGACCAGAGGCTCTGACATGGGTGCACACAGATAGGAGAGGAAAAAGAAGGAGACACAGGGAGTAATTGGGACGATAGAGAAGCAAGTCCTTGTTAGAAGGGGTTACAGATTGCAGAAAGTGGACAGTTTAAGCAGAAATCTGACAGTTGTTGAAATCTAGTGTGTCGCTGTTTTGCATCTGGAAGCGAAACACTTGAAGATGAAGAGGTCGGGTGAGGCTGACTGAAAAAGGGATATGCATAAGGTAGAGCAATCACAAGGGCAAGTTCGGGAGACAAACGATGGGCTGCTGCCAAAGTAACTGGAGGAGGAGACATTGGAATGGCTTCAGATCTGTGCCGAGTTTCCTGGCTGGCCGATGGCGGAATAAAATGGGGCGGAGCTACCAGACGTAGCCAATCTCGTCATCCTTGTCGTCTTCCTCGTCCTCGTCGTCCTCGATGGCTCCTCGGGGGTGAATCCGGCCCCGTCGTTTGTTCTGCCGGCTCCGCCCGCTCCGTGATGGCTCCTCCTCCTGGTCGTCCAGGAGAATGACGGCGCCGCCGCTGCCAAAATCCCCCGATGTCTCTTGGTCCTCATCTTTGGGTGAGATTCACAAAGAGAAGCTTACAGTACAGGCACACGTCAAGTGTCCTGTGTCCACATGCCGTAGATCAAGTAGTGCGCGTCCAGAGGCTCGCGGTGACCTTTCGTATGAAATTATTTGAATTATTTGAATGAGTCACTGTGAAATGGAACAATAGAGGTCATAAACCTTCTGAGCTTTACATCAAACATTACGTCCAAAAAAACACAAATGCGGCACTTTAGTCGAGTGGCACTTGCAGTGTTGAAAGCAGCTTGATGTACTTGTGTTCAGGCTGTCAAGCAAAGAGCTGCAGCATTGATACCTGTTTGTTCTATGTGAGTAGGAGAACTTTGTGCTCCCAGCCTGAGGCCACTCAGCAAGTTAGATCAGCTTGTTAGACCGGATACAAAGGACTGCTGCTGTTGTTGTGCGTGTGTGGCGCCGGCGAGAGACCCCGTCAATATCGGAAGCTGCAATTACTGGCTTTGCACAAGACTGGCTTTTGAGTGAGCCGTAATCTGTGACTGTGAGCTGGATGTTTGATTGGCAATCAGTATATCTGTCCGGATCCTTTCAGGCTAATTATTTTTCTTTTTCTCAACACAATCCCTCTGACATTAATCTGCAGTAAAGTTCTTGTGTTGCCGTTTTTCCCATTTCCCTTTGAAATTCCCCCAATGGCTTGTTAACTACCACTTTGACGTATCTCGGCGCTTAATTGTATGTATTATCTTTCTGAATGCATCTTCTCGGATGCCGACATCAGCCAGAGGTTTTAACATTTATTCCCCTTTAGAAGGTGCAACTTGGACAGCGCAAAAAAATTCATGTATACAACAAATCTTCTGACACCGTTCTCGGCTGACGGACTGTCCGACCCGACTGGCTAGACGCAGGTGTTCCATCAAAGCCACATGAGCAGAATATCAGAGGCAGATAGAATCAGACATTGGCCCCATAGTAAACTAGCTGCAGTGCAGCGGCTCCAGAGGCACATGCTTAATGTAATCTATTTCCTAAAACGATCACTGATGCGTAGATACACGTAAAGATAAAGAGCGACGGGGGGAGGGGGGGGGGGGACACCGAGGCAAGAAACAGAACACAAAGCTGTAATCGTGGTGCTGTGGTGCGTTACGTCGCACAGACAAAGCCTTGCGCTCGCACTCGTCTGCAGCAGCAGCAGCAGATTGCAAAGCGAGATAAAAGACATCCATCGGCCCAGACGGATTGGGGGCCAGTAAGTACAACCGCAACCCCACCCAAACCCTTGTGAGGTGTGTCAGTGAGTCTGTGGCCTCACCGCAGTTCGGGTTGCCTTGTTTTCGGGAGCCAGCGATCTCGTTGCCGTACTTGTCCACACACCAACACTGGCCCGTGCTGCCGTGACACTGGGTTGGTTTGTAGTAGCCCTCCTCAGTGCAACGGGGGATGTAGAAGCCTGCGGAGGGACAGGAGGAGAGGAAAGAGAAAGAAAGGGAACAGCCACATGAGAAAGGGGGGGGGGGGGTGAGGACATTGAACGGAAACACTGAGGTGGGTCCCATCTGATCCGTGCTGCAGTTATGACCAAAGTTATTGTGCATTCACACAGCGGGGTCAACAATCAATTACTGCTGTGAAGGTTGCAGGACAACAACCATACATCCTGCTTAGAGCGAAGCAGTCATTTTTCAATGACACACACACACACACACCTAGTCCTGTTACCTTCATTTGACCCAGACCAAGCTCATTTTTCAAGCTGTTTTGTTGTGAGCTGGAACACTGAACATGTGTACAAAATGTCAAGGCGTGCTTCACAGTGTGTGTGTGCGTGTGTGTGTTTAATGCAACTGCTGTTTACTGCCTGAAGCTATTGGAAAGGGAACATTTCTCCTGCTAACGCGTGTGTTTGTTGACTTTAAAAGTAGGCATGTTGGTTTGTCAGACAGGAGTCAGTGACAGTCAACTGTCAATCATCCAGACTGACCAATGAGGCTCTTCCTTCGACTCTGGTTCTGGATTATGCTCTTCTCGGCTTGGCAGGGCAGTCCTACGAGCAGAGAGCATTAACACACTTTAATGGTTAAAGCTTGTTATTTCAACAGAATCATTTGACTGAAACACCTGTTTTCTTTACATTGGTCACTCTCTCATTACTCTGCATTTTCCTA